GGAATGTCATATGAGTTATTAGGGGAAAACACCGTTCCCAGCTCAGCTGTTATAACAGAAAGTGCAACATCTGCAACCAGGGCATTGTTCAGGGCTAGAATCCCAAGCTTTCTCCATCCTTGCTAGTACAATAGGCACTCCCTCAACTTCCTCCTCTTTTATCAGTAGACAGATGCTTCATCTCCAGATCAATGGGCTGGTGATTCTTTTATCAACATAAAAAGTGAAGCAATTTATTGGTTCAAAGATTTTACTTTCTCAAATTTATCAATTCCCTTGAATCCCTGAGCTGTTAGCTGAATAACTGGTATCTTTCAGTTCTAACATACAAGCATCAAGAGTCAAAGTCATAAAGTTAGAGTATCCAGTTCTATAAAGTATTTAAAAATGATATGAAAATCAATGCATGATATATACATATATCACTTCCCCTCATAACTGCTGAAATTCTATGATGTCCAGCAACAAATGTTGAAACAGTATTGTTCATTCTAATGAATACAGTCTCATCTCCAAATGTAAGGGTTTACATACATCAATACAATTAATGTAATGTAATAGCAACCATAAATATAAATCTTCTGATTATTGAAAGGGATTAGACTGTTAAAATGACTGACTGCACTTCCCAAACAAACACTGGTCAAAACATTAGTACATAGAAGCTGTGTTTCCACTGGAATAATTTTTCCATGTGGCCTGCCGACACTTTCATTATTTGGAAAATAACAGGTTAAGTAGGGAACAGCCTATTTTACACTAGCTATAACTGGATAAACCATACACTTCTAAATCAGGACCTACAGAACGAACACAGTGCAGAGGAGCCCAAGGATAAACACATGAAATGAGACTGTCAAAGTCATGAAGGGACTTAGTCACACACTTTCCATCAACCATCCCTTCACCACTTTGAAAATCCCATTCACCATCCCTGTATTTAGAGTTCTTTGTGTTTGTTTATCTATACACTTCTACGTCCCAAAAACTTCCACTTATTGTGTGTTGAAACAACATTATCCTGCAAAGGTAGTTTCTCAGAAACACATTTTCAAAGCAGCATGAAGTTTTCACTGTGTGACATTTATTAACACCAATTGGATTCACACAGCTAAATCTTGCTGCAATTCATTGTCAATTTACCCCTTCCAGAATTTAATATTTTTTGAATTTCTTTTATTTGCCAAACATTTTCATCTTTCAGTGTTTTATGGCATGGTGTCTGCCATAGCACAGGCACAATCTCTGCCAGCTGATTTAATTTTCTAGTACAGACAAGGCCAATGTCTCAGACTTCTAGTGGCATCAGTAAGAATTATGGCTGTAATCCAAAGGATTTATATATCCTTATGATATATTTTCCCAATGTATACATAGCTCCTAACAATCTTAATGACACATTTATGCACAAAAAGGTACACATACACTTCATTGTTCTTTGCTCAGAGGCACCTTTAGCAATAGCATATGGCAATGCTTCAGTCAGGAAGAGCAAAACAGTGAAAGATCAAGGAGGGGCGGTGGGGCAAGATACAGTTCCCCTTACACAAAATTTCCTTGGTTTTCAGAAGCAGAATCCACCTGAAGGGGTACAATAAAACCCTGAAAGTGACTAAGAACTTTTCATGAACTTGTGCCACCTACACTCAATGATATGAATATAGATTTTTTTCTATATTACACATAATGATATGGATTCCCATTTACAAATGAAGTTGTTATTATTAAATGATAGAAGACTATTTACAGATTGTCCTTAGGATCACTGAATGAAATACTTAAATGCGTTCACTATAAAAAAGGACAAGGCGTCAGCCAAAAACTTCCACTTTCATGGATTAAAGCATAACTGAAAATCACTATTATTGCCATTTTATGTCAAAAATCCCCTAACAAACAGCACTGAAAATTACAAGCAAATCTTCTTGCAATTAACACACTTAATGGGTTAACATTAGAGAAATGGTATTTTATTCACAGTAATGCAATAACAGTTTTCCTCTCCCCTTTTGCCTCGACTGTTTATATGTTGCTGGGATAAAGAAGGCAACAGTTAGAGAAGACTAAAGTTTTAAAGAATCAAGAAACTTTGCCTTAAGGACACTGAACAGTGCACTCTTCTTTAGAACAATAAGCAAATCTTGTTTATGCACATATCTCCAGGGATTTGGCTTTTTTACTTTCCTTTACTTTACTTTTAATTTACTTTACTTTACTTATACAGAAGAGAATCTACATAGTACACACATGCTATGAAAGGTGTTGTCAAGTGTATTTAATTAGATACTTATTTCTTAGGTAATATCTAAAGGTTAATCCTAAGGCTAAGCCAGAGCTGTTGCCCTTCTCAGACAGGACCAGAACATGACCAACGTAAACAACTTCTTTTTTTAAATATGTACCCATATGTTTCCTTTTTAAAGTTTTTCCTCAAGTCATATAAATCACCAGTACTTCTGAAATTCTACAAGTTAGCACTACAAGTGTTTGGATTTTGCAAGATTTAACCTAAATATTGTCTACAATTACTAATATCTCTTTCACCCCTCCATAAGTGGATGCAAAGTAAAATACATCTCAATGAGAGTAATGTCCAGGGATGCAGTTTTGCTGCATATGTTTTATATTCATCACCTATAAGTTATCAGAAAAAGACATAAACTCTCAGTGGTGTTAACTTCTACATATATAAACTGAACGCTACCACCACTGAGATCATGGACAGCATCTGAGCTTTAAGTTCATGTGTTGTGGTTCAGGAATTATATTCCCCAATTTAGTTCTCCCACTGATACTTCCCAGATCATGCCACCACTCTCTCCTCCCTCACCCCCTCTCCCGTTCCCCTACAGGTGCCTGGAGAGGAGAACTAGAGGCACAAAAAGCAAAGTTCATGGGCTGAGAGAAGAACAATTTACTGGAAACAGCAATGAGATAAGTAAAGGAACAGTAACATCAACAATACTGATAACACAAGTGTGCTGAAGAGAGAGTGATTCACATGAAAAATGCTCACCCCAGCCTCACCAGACTGCAGCCATGCAGCCAAGCTCCCCCTGGCTCTGAACCAGGATCACCCCACCGCTCTCTCCAGCTTGGGACTGGTGCCACACTACCCCAAAGAGAAGGAGCCCATTCTCCATAAGAGAGTCATTTTCCTCCACCCCTGGCAATGATGTGAGGTAGTACAGGATAACCTCCAAGTCCTAGCTATGTCCCCTTCAGACTACTGCAAAAAAAATTAATCCCGTCTTGGTTGGAACCAGGACATAGTATCTACTAGATTACTTCTTGAATATAAAGAAAGACTTGTATTTTCAAATGAAAATAAATAAAAATGACACCATTTTGCTATACAGATATTTATCAGCACCTGAAAGATGTAGGGAACATCACTATAAAATATGTAAGAACAGCAGAAAAAACCATGCATTGAAGTAATTTTTGAAAGTTGTTATAACATCTGATAGGTCTTTTATAAAACACGACTCTTTCCTGAAAGACTTTTCATGCATTTCTCTACAGATTATGGTGGCCATTCACACTTTACTTCAATTTTTATAGACTCCCAGTAATTCCACAGAATAATAAATACAGTTATTATAACCCTCATAACTGGTAAAGATATATTTGAAGAAATAGGGTTTGTTTCCCCTCCCACATGCATGATGTAAATCAGGAGCAATTCTGCTGCAGTCGTTAGCACAAAACTGATACAAAACAATAAATAAAAAATAACATCAACATATACAGAACACTTTCCTTACACCAAGAGTGCAAATCATATGCCTCCTCTGTTTCTGGGCAAGGTTCTGCCATTGAGTTACTTATACTGCACTAAGTCCATCACTCTATTCACATGTGAATAAGGTCCAGGCTCACACTGGAAACAATGGAGACACACCAGTTTACACAGGCTAAGAACCTGGCACAAAGCCTTAAAACTGAAAGCGGATTTTCAAATAAATGCAATATGTACAATTACTTCTGGAGTATTACCTCTGAAACAGAAGCAATTTCAAAGTGCTGTAAGAGAAAAATAGACCGCAAAGGATTACGAATACAAACAAACTCACCCCCCCACACTAAATGCATCCCACTTTTCTTCTCTACAGACACAGGAACTCACTCATTTTAAGAGAGATCATGTGGCAAAATGATGACACTGAGTCACTAGAAAATAGAAAAATCTTTTAAAACACTCTTGGGACCAGGGACTACCGTTAAGGGGAGAGCATTATTTTATCATCCTGCTAATGAGCCAGATGAAGGATTATTGTTGTTTGGCGGTGATTTATCTCAACAACTCTCTTCTCTAAAATAAATACGCCAACTTCACTAAACAAAGAGAAGCAGCGGCACCGTTCTGTTGTTTCAAATGCACGCTGAGGAATACTTAAGCAGAGGAAAGGAACCCCAAGAAAAGTCACTGAGAGGGCCGGCACACGCGGCTTTTACACAGGTTAACAAAAATAGAAAAAGACAGAGGCGGCGATCCCGGTCCCAGCATCTTCCCACCGCGCCGGCAGCGCCCAGCAGTGTCCGGCCGCACCGCCGACCCGCGGGCACTGACCGGGGACACGGCCAGCCTCATTCTTCCCCTCGGCCTCTACTTTGAGCAGTCGGGGAGAGCCCCTGCCCGGAACCAGCAGGGACTGACACCTTCTCGAAGCGACACCAGGGCGGGGGAGCCGCTCTCCGTCAGGCAGGGAGCGCTGACAGCCGCCCGGGCTGGGGCGCCGCGGCACCCGCCTCAGGTCGCCGCTCCTCTCCGTCCCCCAGCCACGGGGCCGCTCTGGTCCCACGCCGCGTCGCGCCGCGAAACTTACGGGTCGGGGCGCGGAGGCGCGGGGCGGGCGCGCCGTCGGGGCGGCGGGAGCGGACAGCTCCGCGGCCGGGCCAGCGCCGCTCCGCGCCCCCGGCGGCCGTGCCCGGGGCGGGGGAGACAGCGCCCGTCCCTGCCCACCCCGCGCGAAGCCGAAGCGTGCCCCGGCACTCACCAGCTGCAGCGAGCAGAGGAAGATCAGCGTGCAGCGCCCCGAGCAGCAGCCCATGGTGGCAGCCGGAGAGCCGCCGCCGCTGCTCCGCTTCTTCCCTCCCGCGCTGGCGCGGCCCCGGAGGCGAGCCTGGGGCTCACCGCATCCGGACGGAGCGGCCGGGCGTGCGTGTATCCCCCGCCTCCTGCTGCCTCGCTCCTTTGTGGAGGGGCTTCTCTTCGGCGGCGGGAAGTAACGCGGAGAGGTCGGCGCGGCCCCGGGGCTGGGAGCCGGCGGCAGCGGAGGGCTCTGCCCGGCTCTGGCTCTGGGGAAGGGGCAGCGGCCGGGGGTGGGCGTTCGCGGACCGGGGCGGGGTGGTGGCCTAAGAT